ATTCTGTAGTGAAGTATAAATTGGCAGAAGGGACCACATTGCACAGGGTGGAGCAGGTATTAACATACCCAGGAAGGGTGGGGTACCTGGAGGGGCCAGAGAACAGCGACATGCCGGAGATTTATCACACAGGTCACCAGAGAGGTAAGTGTAGTTCAGGGGTGATCGAACTTTGACAAACCAGCTGTTATTTAACACGTCCCATAAAGCTAACAGCCATAGCCATGACTTCCAGATGGCCGGTATTTGGCTACCACTAGTATAGAGCTTTTTTTATACAGGCTGGAATTATTTTAGTTGTGACCCAGTAGAGACAAGTTACTGTATGTGAGATGGTCTCAGCAGTCCAAATGCAAGCAAGCAAATACCTGTGTATATCAGTCCTATTGCACTGCATTGAAAGAGCAATCACTGCAGTACTACTGAGCAGGAAGGAGAGCTTACAGGAAATATGGCTGCTCTCTTGTACATATTTCTTTAAACGTTATACATAGAAACAAAGATTGTAAAACATTAATACTCATTCACAAGATTCTTTACATTCACGTTCAGCTGTCAGCAGTTGAAACATTGTACACTGGCTGCCAGACTACGATACAGACATTAAAGTGTATTTCCACTTTAGTAGCCACATTAGGATAACACTTAAGTTATATTTGTTACAGGTTCCCATTCACATTGCATACACTTGAAGAGATATTTAAAAATTGCAGCGTACCCTTTTATTTGCTCTTTTAGAAAGAAACCTTTTTTTACATTTTCTCCTGGAATGTAAGGGGGCTGTTGAGTTATGTTTAGCATAATGAACCCCATCTGTACTGTGCTGGCAGATCTTATTATCAGTTATTAGATTTGTCTGTCCTAAAAAAGGGCTAAAGATCTAGAAGCATTCTATGTTAATGAGAGGAAGCTTGGTGTGTTCCTGGTCTTTCTATGGTACTGGAAGGAAGTGGAAAGAAAGCACTTGACCTGCAAAGTTTATCCAATTGGTGTGGCTGGCCAATCATGATGTTCCTGTTTCCCCGAAAATAAGACCTAGCACTATTTTTCAAGATTCCTGTAATATAAGACCTACCCCGAAAATAAGACCTAGTTTGGTGGTAGCATGTGAGGGGGAACTTGAAGAGCAGGAGAGATGGTATCAGCCTGCAGGGACATACTCTATTAAGGGGATGACAGGGGACTCCCTCCGGCCAGGGCAGTGACAGGGAGCACTCCAGTACCATACTTCACTAACTGCTGTCCCCCTGAAGGCACTGCTTAATGTGATGGTACTGTACTGTAATGTGTACCGCTGTCCACTGTCTGATGTCCCCACTGCGGTAACGCTGTCCCTGATGGCAAAGGAAGCCGGCGCTGTAGAAAGCAAGGCAGCAGCGGAGGGAGTGGAGCCGCATTAGCCGTTACTTCCTCTATAGCACCGGTTACTGTGACAGGCGGAGTGATACCAGATGCACTCCACCTGTGAAAGTTAAAGAAAGGAATCAGCATTACCGATGCTGACCATTTTGTTGCATATTTTAAAAAAAAGACTTCCCCTGAAAATAAGACCTAGTGTGTTTTTTGGGGGGCAAAAAAATATAAGACTGTCTTATTTTCGGGACTGTCTGATTACCGGACAGGCAGCTACTACATTCCAGAGGATTTTCACTGTCCCCTTGGTTTGTAGTGTCCAATTGCAGGATTGTGCATTGAAGAGCCACACTCCGTTAAATAGTCCATATACATCTCTATTTAATGCAGGGTTGAGACAGTATAGAAATTCCCAACGCGTTTTGGGAGCTCATAACAGTACAGTGGTACCTCGATCCACGAACTTAATCCTGATTCTGGTCGCGAACTGAATTGGCCACAAACTGATCAGACCGCCATCTCGACTAGAGGAAGCCACGACCATGTGTCAGAGCAGGGAAGAAACAGGAACCATACCGCACTCTTTACCGGGATTCCCACTTGATGAAGATGGGTGCTCGAAATGACTGCGGATGGCACCGCCACACATGAACAGTAGAAAAATGTCACCAGCACACCATGAGTTGAAAAAGCAAAATATTTTATTGCCGATAGCTGTATCTCATTGGCAAGCGCTTTCGGGGCCTCGCAGGGTCCCCTTCATCAGGCTTAGAGGGAAGAAGGGCAGGGAAGAAGGCTGCGGTTGTGTCGCCCGATGCAGAGTTTGCGAACGGAAGCAAAATTTTACTGAACTTCCTGTTCGCGAACAGAAGCGTTTGTGGCTCAAAATTGGATACTGTTTTGTCCAGTGTGTGAGGTGCTGCGTATAGCCACATGCAGCCACCTGTACAACTCAATGACGGGATGTGGCTGCACGCTGCTATACGCTGACCTGAGCTTGCACATCCATACATGTATGGTTGGATGCCCTTGGACACAAACTATCTTAAGCGGGTGCACCCAGACCTGCATGGATATGTTGCAAGTTTGGGTCGACGTGCAGCTGTGTCCTGTCACATAGATGCACAGGCAGCTGCAAGTGACTACACACAGTTCCTGTCCTTGGGTGGAGGTTTCTGCATGGACGTGCATGTTGTGCGAATGCGAGTGTGTGAGAATGCATAGAGCTCATCAGCAGCTGATCTGGCAGCCTTGTTAGAACTTCCTGTGAGCCCCGAATGTTAGTGTTTAAGTAAACAGTTCTTAACAGTGCTGAGAATTTTGCATGTCCACCTCCCTGTTGGCTTAAGGCACTCATCGTAGTGATGGCCCAATAAGATGATACAAGACATCCGGGTGCTCGAGAAAACATCTAAAGCTATACCCAGGCACTCATGTATGCCTATGTTTTTAGTCATGTGACTAGAATGGTAAAATGACTGACCTGAACTTTCGGCCGATTATACTCACAATTTATTTGAAAACAACTTTTAGAAGACTGTAGTATCTCTTTAAAGGGAAAGTAATTATATGAGTATCATTTATTTTCTACACTGTTAAGTTGTCATTTGATGTTGTAACAGCTCCTCTAATGTTAGAGATAATTGCTTTTATTGTATAATGTATAAAGTGAATGGACTAGAACTGCTGATTGGGCCCTGTGGCAGCACTATTCTATGTTTTTACCTCAGTATATGTTCCAGTAGCTCATACAAACCATGGGAATGGTGGGCATTATCCAATATGGCTCTCGTGGAAGCTAAGCATGATGGGAACTTTAGTTCCTACATATCTGGTTTAATCATGCTCAGTAATGGAGTGCAGAGGCTGTGCAGATCTGCTTTGCAGGATATAGGCTGGATATCTATCTGTATATACAGCACATGGAATGTATAGATATAAATATACATGTAGCTTCAGAACACATTCCATTCATACACTGCTGCAGAGTATTTTAATTCTACTTTGGCAAGGGACTGTCGTATTTATTAAATTTTTTTTGTTATTGTGAAATTTTAAGTTTTTGAGATTTTTTGGAGATCACTATGGTCTTAATTTTCTGACGGGTAAGGGCGATAATATCTTGTAATCGGACTTCCCAAAACTATCAAATAGATTACCACGGATTGGAAACTGTTTACCGTTTTACTTAAAATGTGAACTGAAAGCTGCATCTCATTTAGTTCTGTACAGTATATGCTTCCATACTGAAAACAATAATGCAATAAACGTTTTTCAAGAAATCATTTTTGTGCACGTGGTCTGTATGTTTATATCAAGTAATAACAAAAAGAACAGTTTCATGTATAGGTTCTTAATATGAAATGACTTTGTTTTCCAGCCTACCTGCTGAGATTTCAATAATGGAGCAGTAATGACGCGTTCAGTCTCCTGCTAGGGACAATAACGTTTATTGAGCATAGCTCGGACAGTCTCTTGTTTTAGCCTCTCAGGGAAGTGTTAAGGCATTGCATGGTGTTCAGCTATGCATCAGGATGATGATAATTGCAGGCCTGGAAAATCTGCATTGCGCATACGGGTTAGGCTACGTACATGCAGATGTGCACAGCCGTACAGTGTGCATGTCTGTGCAGAAACCTGCACCCGGTAGGAACAGGTGCTGCGTATAGCCACATGCAGCCACCTGTACAACTCAATGACAGGATGTGGCTGCACGCTGCTATACGCTGACCTGAGCTTGCACATCCATACATGTATGGTTGGATGCCCTTGGACACAAACTATCTTAAGCGGGTGCACCCAGACCTGCATGGATATGTTGCAAGTTTGGGTCGACGTGCAGCCGTGTCCTGTCACATAGATGCACAGGCAGCTGCAAGTGACTACACGCAGTTCCTGTCCTTGGGTGGAGGTTTCTGCATGGACGTGCATGTTGTGCGTCTGTGCACATTCTTGTGAATTAGGCCTTACAATATAGGGGACACCAATAAACAGTTATGAAGGCCAAATTGTTTGGCAGAAAGCCAAGTGAGATTTATGGCCACAAAGGAGAGTTAAGGATCATTCTACAGCATCCTTCTTTTAATAATCCGTTTGCAATGGCCGTAAGATTTTTAGAAACTAAAAAGTGAAATAGAATGAAATCCAAGCAAAAGAAATGTGAGATTAGCACACATCTGTTACACTGCATACCCAGGTAGGTGACTTTCACCCGCTGTTACTGATTAAAATTTTCGTGTTCGATTCAGGTGACATCAACGTCACCTGACTCCTCCCCTTCGTTAGCCGACAGAGCCACTTGAGCTCCGTCGGCTAATATATATATAACAACGGTAGTCCTGATTTCTGATATGATGACACCCTCTACAGGAACATGTCGGGACTATCTTCCCTGGGAAACTAGTGAGTGCATTCTACATATATTTGTATCCCTTTGATATACTCTGGTGTTATCAGTGCTTTGTTATATCTGTACACGAGAGTATCTTCTGTTAAACCTAAAGTCAGAATACACGTACAGTAAATAAGACAATACAAGGTGTGCACTGGTGCTGTCAAACAATCTGTTTTTTTTTTGTTATATGGAAACTCCTTTTCACCGCATGTTTGCACTTTACATTGAATTACTCTTGTTTTTCAACTATCAGGGCATCGAAAAACTGAAGAAGCAGACCCCATCCTGGAAAAAGAGCAGCAGCTGGGAAGGACTGAAGCAAGCATTTGGTGGTAGTTTCTCTCCTGGATGGTTAAGTCCTTTTTCAGGGACTGGTTATCAGAAGGTGCCATCAGATACTGAAACCGGATTGTCTGGAAAAGGTGGTGAAATAGTCATTGGCAAGATGGTAGGAAATGTGGAAGTCATTGAAGTGGGAGGTGAAGAGGAGTCAAACCAGTCAAATCAGTCAAATAATACCTAAAAAAAACCATGAAAAAGCACAACAGACCGCACACAAATTCAAAGTCCGTACCATAGGCTTCTGCTTTTAAAAATTCATGATGGTGACAATGTAAAGGGCTTTCCCCTTTCGTACATAAATTTATCTACTAAATACTTTGCTCGGATTTTTGTTTCTGTATTTTTAACCATGGTTGTTATAATGGCTGAAGTAAGACTGACAGATGTAGGCTGCTTTGCTGACCTCATTCTAAGAAGGATAGTTGCTTGGCCGTTGTGCTGAGGCTCTGGCCACTGACCAAGAACAGGAATGCAGCCATTGAGATCAACAACTCCTTATACACAAACTTGTGTTGGGTCCTTGACCCCAAAGATTTGCAGCCAGGGAGCCAAGTCACCAACATTTTCAGAAAGAGGTCATTGATGGTAACCCATGATTTATTCTCATGACAGGTTACCTTTAATGTTGCTCAATATAGCAAGAGACCCTTCCACTGTGGTAATTGGTTACATTGAGGTACATGGTAGCTTGACCTACTTAACCCCAAAGAACAGCAGCATTCCTGCTTGAATAAAACAGCGTTTTTGCTTTCTCAGATAAGTCCAGCAACCTGCAACCAGTGTAGTGCCAATTTCATAGTGACATGTGCCCCCCTCCCAGTACCACTCCAATGTCTTATATTCACCCATCCTGCTTTCTGCCATAGCTTTTCTATGCAACCTGCTGGAAGCCATACAGTTGCTGTGGTGTGCTGAGGTTCAGTTAAAGGATAACTGATAAAATAGTCATCATTTTAATGTAGCACTATAGACTGTAATATGTCTCCGGCTTATATACGAACTCCACTGAGCACTGTGTTCATCTTTGTCTGGAAACATAAAATACACAGAAGTTATTGGCAGGAAATAGTTTTTTTTCTATGGAGGAATGCTTCCTGCTTATGGGGTTCCATGGCTGGAGGTATGACGTGGGAGAACTCCAGAAATGAGATGCTGTTGGTGACCACTTGTGCTCCTTAGCTTATGATGCCTGTCAATGGTGATGGAAGGCTCAGCACACCTCCACCGGTCAAACAAGTAAAGACAACAGGTCAGTCCAGTTTAGAAGAGTGACTACTTTGGGAATCAGAGGCTCTTGGCTTTAGAAATTGACTCAACATTTGTTGATGGCCTATTAGAGCTGCAGCTAATGATTATTTTCAAAATCGATTAGTTAGCCGATTATTAAGTTCGATTAATCGGTTAATCGTCTATATTCTAACACTATTGAAAAGCTTTCATTTCCTGTGACGTTCTTCCTTAATTCTGGCAGAAGGTGACACAGCAATTTGTGCTAACTCCTTTTCTCTTTGTGTTTACAACACTGACCTTAACCTTAGGGTTGTTATATTAAAGACTTGAGCATTATGTTATAGTCATTTTAAATGTTATCAGCTGCCTTTGGAAATTGTTTCATATCTCTGACAATCTGACTGGAATTACTCTTGTTTTATTTGAGTGCTTCTCAATACATAGCTGACGTTTCATGACACAAATAGGTGCTCATGTCTGGTTGCAAATTGCTGTGACCTGTTGCTCCGTGATTGATTCTGCACAATTGTTCATTACTGTAATTTTGTGTAATCAATTGCACATGACAGAAAAACATGATAGTCTAGCGCAGCGTTTCTTAACCTTTTTCAGTTACGGCACCCATTAAAAGAATGCAAAATTTCAAGGTGCCCCAGTTAAAAATGTACAAAAAGTAAATGTAAAAAATGGACATGTGGCCCCTTAAAATGTTTAACTTATCCTATTTAAATCACAGCCCC